AACTATTTTCAGAAATGTAAAAGAGTGCATGATGCAAGTAATATATGGCATATTAAATGTCGTACATTGTTCAGCCTTTATTTTAAAAGGTTAAATCTATGCCTTTCCACAGGTTTTCAGGTGTAAACTATACCTTTTTCCTTCAACCTGCAGAGTAGTATTTTTTACTCCCTTTCGAACTATAGAATTTCCTCCCTGCTGCCCATATAGTGTACATATGGCACTCCTCCTTACAAAAAAAAATAATCAAAGTATGCTCAGCAACAAAAAAGGCTCAATAAACAGCATCTCAGCACTTGTGCGGGTAAGGCTAGCAATGCAGTGGGCCTCCGAGCTTCGTACTCGGGAAAAGGCAAATGGAACCAAGTACATTCTCGTTAGAAAGTGGTTTTGTAAGATTACCTCATTACTTTTTCACGTACTGTAAATCCAACCCTACCCCACTCGAGTTAAATACACCCGGCCATTCGCACTCTCTCAGCAAGAAGCCCCGAGAACACACAGAGCCACTCGCTGCGTCCTATTCCGGATTAATACCCTCCTGTGCTCCCAAAGCTACACTAAAAAACACTTAAAAAAAAAAAAAATATTAAAAATACTACAGATACTACAGGATCAGAATAACCCTAAAACACCAATCTCCTGTGTGTTAGTCCTACCTACCTACGTACACACACACACACACACACCATGGTCGTACTTATCTCTGCGCTCATACCTGCCGCAGCTCTACCTCTAAAAGGCACCAGACATGCAAGGATAACCAGCTGGATCACACACATACTAACACTATAAGAGAGGGGAGAGAGAAAAAACTATGACTAAAAGATGGGAGAGAGAAAAAACTATGACTAAAAGAGAAGAGGAGAGAAAAGAAGAGAAAGAAAAAAAAAAACGAGATATGACTTCAGGAAATCATAATCATCCTCATCCTATGACCTTGAATGGCCCCTCATTTTCGACAGGTTTTTTTCACTCCCTATTCACACGGGCGTCTGCTCGGGGGTCGGGCCGAGGCCAGAGGAAAGGGCCCGACCTCGTGCAGCTGCCCTTCCGCCCGCAACCAATCCCCTTCAATCAACACATAATCAATCCCTTCGCCCAAAAGACACAATCAATCCCCTTCCACCCAAAAGACCCAATCAATCCCTTCCCCCCAAAACAGGGCAGAGGGCCGAGCGAGGCAGCCCAGGCCCCGCTCCCCAGCCTCGGCCCCAACGCCACCCACCTAGTGCATTCCTGAGCGCGATCTCGATCTACAGGTCCTCCCAGATCCCTCGTCGGCGCCTTCCGCGTGTGGCTTCGGTCTCGCGCGTGAGGAGGAGCGGCCCGAGTGAGGTGCGAGGGCGAGTGCGCGCCGTGCTTCCAATATGGCCGCCGCGCTCAATGTGGCGCCCCCCCTCGCGGCCATTGCGCGGTGCGCGCGGCGCTCAAGAGATGGCGCCACCGCCGCTCCCGCCACGCTGCCCTCGCCGCCGCCGCTCCCCCCCCCCCCCCCCCCACCGCCGCCGCCGCTACCGCCGCAGAGGCCCCCTTCGCCGCCGCCGCCGCTTTTCCTTCTCACGCCGTCGATGCCCCTTCTTAACTTCTCTATTAATCGCTGCCGCTGCCATTACCCCCTTGCAAGCCCGCTGGCGTCACCGCTACCCCCTTTCCCGCCGCTACCTTCTTCACCGCCGCCGTCGGTATGCTCTTCACCGACGTCACCGCTACCCCCTTTACCACCGCTCCCTCCTTCACCGCCGCCGCCGCTTCCTTCTCCTTCGCCGCCACCGGTATCCTCTCCACCGCCCCGCCGGTCGCTACCCTCTTCGCTGGCGCTGATACCCCCTTCGATACCCTCTCATCTGATACCCCCTGCGGTACCCTCTCATCTGATACCTCCTTCGGTACCCTCTCATCTGATACCCCCTTCGATACCCTCTCATCTGATACCCCCTTCGATACCCTCTCATCTGATACCCCCTTCGATACCCTCTCTTCTGATACCCCCTTCGGTACCCTCTCATCTGATACCCCCTTCGATACCCTCTCATCTGATACCCCCTTCGATACCCTCTCACCTGATACCCCCTTCGATACCCTCTCTTCTGATACCCCCTTCGGTACCCTCTCATCTGATACCCCCTTCGATACCCTCTCATCTGATACCCCCTTCGATACCCTCTCACCTGATACCCCCTTCGATACCCTCTCTTCTGATACCCCCTTCGATACCCTCTCATCTGATACCCCCTTCGATACCCTCTCATCTGATACCTCCTTCGGTACCCTCTCATCTGATACCCCCTTCGATACCCTCTCATCTGATACCCCCTTCGATACCCTCTCTTCTGATACCCCCTTCGATACCCTCTTTACCGCCGGAAACGCGTTAACTTCTCCGTCGCTACCACTTACTCCTCCACCGTCGCCACTTCCCGCTTCACCGCTTCTACCCTTTCTATCGCCGCCGCTGCCCCCTTCACCACTTCCGCCGCCGCTGCCCTTTCTACACTGACCCTGACGCCGCTACCTCTTCCACATTCACCCTGACGCCGATATCTCTTCCACATTCACCCTGACGCCGCTATCTCTTCCACATTCACCCTGACGCCACCGCTACCTCTTCCACATTCACCCTGACGCCACCGCAACCTCTTCCACATTCACCCTGACGCCACCGCAACCTCTTCCACATTCACCCTGACGCCGCCGCCACCTCTTCCACATTCACCCTGACGCCGATATCTCTTCCACATTCACCCTGACGCCACCGCCACCTCTTCCACATTCACCCTGACGCCGCCGCCACCTCTTCCACATTCACCCTGACGCCACACGCTACCTCTTCCACACTCACCCTGCCTCCACCGCTACCTCTTCCACATTCACCTTGACGCCACCGCCACCTCTTCCACATTCACCCTGACGCCGCCGCCACCTCTTCCACATTCACCCTGACGCCACACGCTACCTCTTCCACACTCACCCTGCCTCCACCGCTACTTCTTCCACATTCACCTTGACGCCACCGCTATCTCTTCCACACTCACCCTGACGCCGCTACCTTCTCCCCCACCACCTTCACTTCCGCTAGCCACTTCGCCGACGCCGCCGCCGCTACAGCCACCACCCTAGGCTCCCACGATGCCCCTCGGACGTGTCTCTGGGCAAGGGGGCACGGGTCAAGGGGCATGGGGCAAGACGTCCACGCTAGACGATGATCCGCCTTGTCACGCTCACCTGTGACAGGTGCGCCCAGGTGGCACTTCTTAATGCCAAAAGGCGCGGTCCAAATATAGACGGAGTTGAGACGTATGTCTAAATAAATTACTGAGCTATGTGCAGTATATAGGTATTTGGTATGCTGGTGTTAAATGGGCGCTGTCTTATTCGGAAGATATGCCTCAGTTTAAAGAAAAATCTATTATATCACACACATGCATTCATGTACATATACAAATGTATACATGCTAGTATATGAGTATGTATATATTATGTGTGTGTGTATGTATATATATATATTATATTATATATACATATATACATACATGTATGTATGTGTGTGTATCCATGTGTGAAAGTTTGTGTATATGTGTGTGTGTGTGTGTGTGTGTGTATGTTTGTGTGTGTGTGTTCGTGTGTGACAGTGTGTATGTTTGTGTGTGTGTGTGTGTGTGTGTGTGTGTGTGTTTGCGTGTATGACAGTTTGTATGTGTGTGTGACAGTGTGTATGTTTGTTTGTGTGTGTGTGTGTGTGTGTATGAGTGTGTGTGTGTGTGTCTGTGTCTGAGAGAGAGTGTGCATGTGTGTGTACAGGCAGCCACCCATGTACAGACACACACACACACACACACACACACACACACACACACACACACACACACACACACACACACACACACACACACACACACAAGCATACATACATATATGTACATATATATGTATATATATATTATATATATATATGTATATATATAGAATGTAGAAATCTATTAAATCTATTAAAGAAATACCTATACCGTTTATTTGTTGCACTAATCGTCAACCTAATATAGAATTTTGTAAATAAAAAAATATTAGCTGCAACGACATATACTTCCTACTGAAATCCGCTGCCCTGCTTACTAGGTACTAGGGACTGCTTTTGACGTGGCCGGATGCAGGTTAACGTCTTATATATATATATATATATATATATATATATATATATATATATATATATATATATATATATATATATATATATATGATAGATAGATAGATAGATATAGATATGCTGTATGTATGTGAGTGTGTATGTATAGTTAAGTAGATGACATCATATATCTTATATATAGAAATTTAAGTCGATACATTTGTGGATCAGTAGACCGGAAACAATATGAATATAGGCCTATATGCATATATATATATATATATATATATATATATATATATATATATATATATTATATATAAATACACGTGCTCATTCCAAAACGCTTGCAGACTTTAAAGTTTTCAAACAAATTTCCACGTATCCTGTTGCTTCCGGTTCTCCGGTGTTAGGAAGGATGTGAAAATAAAATCCTGTTAAACCTCATCGAGGCGAAATAAGGTCCTATCCAAACGCTAATTATAACTACCGCCTAATAACGCGCGGAATGGACAACGGAAACCACTCCTTTTCTATAACGTTACGATGTGAAAAGGAAAAGAAAATAGCAATAATAATAATAATAATGTTTTCTTCCCCTGAATGCAAATCGACACTGAAACTGCACCTTCTGGTATCGCTGAAACCGTAAAACATACCCTGAGTTTGAGCTCGTCAGCTTGCAGGAGCTTCTCTTCTCTCTCTCTCTGGCGCTGGCTTTGTTTACTGTTTTCCTCGTGGACTGCGTGTACCTTCGCATAAAAAAATAAGGGCTATCTCTTCGGGAATCATTGTTTTGTGTGTGTGTGTGGGAGGGGGGGTTGTATATATATATGTATATATATATATATGTGTGTGTGTGTGTGTGTGTGTGTGTGTGTGTGTGTGTGTGTGTGTGTGTGTGTGTGTGTGTGTGTGTGTGTGTGTGTGTGTGTGTGTGTGTGTGTGTGTGTGTGTCTGTGTGTGTCCATATGTGTGAGTATATATATATATATATATATATATATATATATATATATATATATATAAATATATGTATACATATATATAGATGAATATATTTATATACATATGTGTGTGTGCGTGCGCGTGTGTATACATATATACATATACGTGTATGCATGTGTACATAAAAACAAACACACACACACACACATATATATGTGTGTGTGGCACTTAGTCACCATATGTGTCACTAAGGTCTCTTGAGTATTATAATTCTCAATGGCTCACATTATATGTTATTACAGGCTCACTGATCTGCTATGCCTCTCTCCTGCCCTTTTCAACATCACCTGAAAAGATACACATAAACACACACACACATAAATATATATGTGTGTGTGTGTGTGTGTGTGTGTGTGTGTACACACTCGTGTATGTGTGTATATATATATGTGTATATATATATATATATATATATATATATATATATATATATATATATATATGCGTGTGTGTGTGTGTGTATGTATATATGTATATATATATACATATATATATATACATATACAGATGTTTGTGTGTGTTTGATTATTTATTTCTGATGTGTATATATATGCTTATATATAAATATGAATACACACACACACACACACATATATATATACACACATGTGAGTATATATATACATACATATATATATATATATATATATATATATATATATATATATATATATACTTTTTTTTTTTTTTTTTTTTTTTTTTTTTTTTTAATATGTAGACATTCTATCCCCATATTAAACTAGGGAATCACGTCCCGCTCGGCACATAGAATTCAAGCAATCACACTCACATTCCTTGCTACTTATAACCTATAAAAAGCCAGAGATTGTCTATTCATTTACCACTATTCGCACAACTGATCAGAATGTCACGCGTTGGCACAATTTGCCTCTTCCGCACAGATGCCTCGGCTAGTTCTAACACCACACAGGTGCTACAGGTGAATGGGATTAAATTCTGACCTGAATAACACTTGATTATCTTCATCACTAAGCGATAATCACCTTTGTGCTAGTGTCTTCTGGTAAGTTTTTACTTCATGCATACATGCAATCACACATACACATATGAAAACACACACATAAACAAATATATATATATATATATATATATATATATATATATATATATGTGTGTGTGTGTGTGTGTGTGTGTGTGTGTGTGTGTGTGTGTGTGTGTGTGTGTGTGATTAGGGTAAATCAAACCTAGTTACGGTAGTGGGGGAGTCTATGGTAGATATGATGGTGAGTTGAGAACCGCCAGCAATGATTACCTTAACAACTATTCCCCTGGGGAAGGATCATGGGTCATTCACCCCAGTATTAAGACCCAGTCAACTACATAACTTAAAAAAAATAATTGTGGGAAATCTAGGCTTCTATCTCCCCCCCTTTCCTAAAAAAAATATAAACAATTCGCCACCATGATTACTGATAGAAACAAAGATGCTTATTCTTACCCAGCCATACCCAAAGTGTGCAGAACATTACCTCGAGTTTACCGAAGGAGTAGGTGGGGGGGTGATGGTCCCCCTTCTTGTTTTCATATTGGCAAATTGTCTCCTTTGTTTAGCAAATTTAAGGTTCTTTGCACATTTCTACTTATTTCTATGCTTTAACCCTTTCGTTAGACACAGAATAACACTATCGAATTTAATTGCTCAGTTAATGGCAGTTACAATATATACGGCGTTTGAGATAATATGGTCGTGGCTGAATTTTGGAAACACCTTTTTTTTAGAGGCAAATGGACCCTCTTTCGCCGCCTTTTCAATACTTTTTTTCCCATAGATACCGCGGTTCATCGTGTCCCATTCAGGGTTGTAACTACCTGTGTGTGTGTATGTTTTTGGGGGAGGGGGGGTGTTGTTGTTACAATAGCGTATTTTTTTTTACGAGGCTTTCATTCATGTTTTGGAAGTGTTTTCGTCGAGCAACGTACACATTTGAATGACCGGTAATGTTGATATTCTCGAAAACTAAATTTGCTGCTGTAACCATATTCATTTAAAGTTTTAGTGTACTCTCTCTCTCCCTCAGTCTGTGTGTGTGTGTGTGTGTGTGTGTGTGTGTGTGTGTGTGTGTGTGTGTGTGTGTGTGTGTGTGTGTGTGTGTGTGTGTGTGTGTATGTGTGTGTGTGCGCGCTTGTGCGTGTACGTGTATGTGTGTATTGAAATATTTCCCGTCATTCCTTCCCCACCTCCCTCCCTCCCCCCTCCCCCACCACCACCCAAATACCCAGGCGATAAGGGCGTGAAGCAACAAGGCGAGAAAATACGCTCCTAGAAAAAAAACAAAACAACTTCATAACCAAATATTCGTACAAGAAATGTCTTGCAGAGTAGACATAAATGATAATGGTAAGTTGTG